AAATAAAATCTTTAAAAAAAAAAAAAAAAAAAAAGAAAGGCTACGACCCAAACAGGAGTTTAACAGGATGGATGGGAGACTGGGGAAGGGTGTGCAAAGCAGAGGGAACAGCATATGCGAAGACCTAGAGGCCTCCAGGGTTGCTCACGGAGAGCCGGTCCTCACCAGCGGCCTGGCAGGCATAGGCGAAGACGATGATATCGTCGAAGGGCCAGGTGTAGTTGGGATGAGGGGGGTAGAAGGCAAGCTGGGCTGCCCCCTTAGCCCGCAAGGACACCAGGAAGGTGGAATGGACCATGGGGACCTGGAAGCAGCCCCGGCGCTGGCGGTTCTTGGTGGGGAAGTAGTCTGCTGTGCGTCGGTAGTAGCCCTGGGGAAAGGGGTTGCTCTGAACTATGATGGGGCCCCTCCATCCCCAGAACACTGCCTCCCTTGCCATGGCCCACAGACCCCGAGGCCTCCGTCCCCAGCCTTACCTGGGGCGTGATCCCACACCAGAAATTGGAGTAGTAGGTCTGGGAGTCCAGCATTGGGGCCACCACGGGCAGCCCCTGCTCTATCAGAAGCCTCAGCGTCTGGTTGTTGGTCAGAATGTTGTCTGTATCTGCAAACTTTTGGGAGGGGGTGTCACAGACCCCAGCCTTATTTGGGTTGTACCCCCAAGGAGTCACTGAGTGGGATCCCTCTAGATTGCCAGAGACCCTGCATGTCTCCCGGGATCCAATGGCATCCCGTTAGAGAGTTCTAACCTATAAACCAATAGGTGTATTTCTGGACCAAAGATCTTGTCTGGAGCAATGGCTCTGGGATCAGGTCCAGAGATTCGACCTGAGTTGCTGATCTAAGAGCTTTATTCTAGATCTGACTTAGGGAGTAGGGCCAAAGACCTACGCTGAGTTCTAGTCTGGGGAACCAAGCCCAGTTTATACTCCGGGCTCTAGCCCAGGAACCTAGGCTCAGTATACACCCGGTAATCTGTCTCATGGATCCAGGCTTCACAGCTAATCTGAGCTCAAGCATAGGGATCCAAGCTCAATATCCAGTCTGGATTCTGACCCAGGTTGCTAGCTGAAGGGTCCAGCCTACAGGTAGTTAAGTCACACCGAGATTGCTGTCAGGGACAGATATCACCACCTGTGGGAAACCCCATCCTAGCCAGGCTTTCTTACCAGGATGTAGTCAGCCCCCCAGTCCCTAGCAAAGGTCAGGGCTTCCTGTTTCAACTCCATCAGAAACTGGTGCCTTTCTCTGGTCCAGTGCTTGGGCCCCTCTTCGTCTGGGTAGGACCTGAGAGGGTAAAGAGATGAGAAGTTCGCCAGGGGCAGATGCCCGCGGTCCCCCTGGCGGCAGGGCAGTGGAGAGAGCCCTGGCCTGGAGGTGGGGGTTTGCGGCTGTCCCTTTTCCTCCCTGGGTGGCAGCTGTTGGCCCTCTTCCCAAGAACCCTTCCCTCCAGTCACCACCTGGGCTCCCCCTCGGGCCTCCAGACCACAGCCGCGTAGTGGTCACCCACAGCCACCAGCCACTCCTGCAGCATCTGCGTGGTGTTGTCCGTGTTGTGGTCCGTGGCACACCTGGGGACGTGGGAGGAAGAAGGGTGAGGGGGCCCTGCCACCGAAGGGCCAGACCCCGAGGCAGCATTGACCCCTGGAGCACCAACCCCTCCGAGGCTGGACGCTTGGGTGCTGCAAGGGGAGGAGGTGTGCTCCAGAGTAACGCAAGCACCCCGGTCCCAGGCACAGGTCTGGGACCCACTGTGTGACCTCAGGCGAGTCCCATCCATCTCTGGGCTTCACTTTCTCCCTCCGGAACCAGAAGCTGGCCTGCCTGGCTCATGGGCTGAGACCCCAGAACATGAACGCATTTGAAAGACAAAGTACGTCAGCTTTGAGGACCGCACCTGCCACATGCCCTGGCCACCCTCCTTCCTTACCAGGAGACCACAGGTCCGCGCCTCCCCCTGAGTCAGGACCGGACAGAAGAGCTGCTGCTTCCCTCTGCCCGAAAATCCTAGTAAGGACCAAACCCTCCTCCGAACATCCCTGAGAAGTGCTGATGCGCCTGAGCTCCAAGGCCACGGAGCATAACCTCTCCTCTGCGGAGGGGGCTCCCCAGACGGGGTGGGGGGGTGTGTGTGTGCAGAGGGCTTAGCCAAGATCCCAAGTTTTAGGTGATGCTGCCCCTTTAAGCCAATTCCCCAGAAGTGAAGACTAACTACGTGTCAAGTCTCCTAGGGGTGGGAACTAACTAACTCAGACTGTGGTAATTGTGGGCAGCCTCCCCAGGCCCCAGCTCCACCCTCAGCGCAACTTTGGTGTGCCTTGGGGGGTAGTTTGTCAATTCTCTCCAGTTTATCCCCAACCTCAGCCTGGGACTCCTCCCTGTTCTGGCTTCCACACACTGGGGCCCCCGATTCCAGTGAGCCCTGTGGGGATGCCTGGGGGAGAGACTCTAGGGAAGGGGCTCTCTGCCCTGGGCTGGCGGGACCCAGACCCTCCACAGAGAGGCCGGAAGGAGCCAGGGGAAGGAGGAGCAGGTCTGACGCCCCCCTGCAGAGCAGCATGGAGGCAGACAGCACCCTCACCTGCTCCCCAGGCACCCCCAGGCCTGCTGATCTCTGCCACGTGGGGACCCAGGGCAGGCCAGCTGTTCCTGCTGGCTCCACTCCAGGTCAAGCCAACCCCAGGGCCCACAGGGGCTTGAGTTTGGGCTCTGGGGCTAGGGCAAGAGGACCTCACTTAAAGCCAGAGGAGGTCCCCAGAGGAGTAAGGGCCGGGGTGGGTGTTCCGGGGTCAACCTAAAGCCTCAGAGGTCAGTCTGCAGGGCCAAGGGGATAAGGGGTCCGGTCCAGGGGCGCGGGGCCGTGCAGGGCCTGTCTGCCAGGGGAGGGGCCTGTCTGGGTGGTGTCTGGACGGAGCAGACGGGGCCATCGGGAGTGGAGGCTATCTGTGGGGCGGGGGGTACATGCCCAGAGGGTGCCAGTGCCCGGTCTCTCTCACCAGAGGGCCAGCCTGGCCCGGGGGTAGTCCAGCCGCTCCAGCGCGCCCAGGTAGTGGGGCAGTGAGTGCTCGGCATTGCGGGCCAGGACCGTAAGGACCACGGCGGGCAGCGGCGGCTCCACGACGCTCGCAGCCTGGAGCCACGGCCCCAGCAGGAGCAGCAGCTGAAGC